GGGATCTGTGGAGGAAAAGGACATGGATGCCACATCCCATGGGAGCTCAGAGGAGCTGCCACACTGTGACCGACTTACAAAATCCGAAGCGCTTTTTCAGCAGTCAAACTTTAAGGAACTTAAGACTCAAGAAAAAAAACCAAAGCAGACTTTGGAATCCACAAAACTTGAGTTTGAACTCATCTGTATGTCTCTGATTCCAGCCACATGACCAACTGTTTCTCCTTGTCCTCAACTTCCCCCAACTGCCACTGTGGGTTTTACATGGGGTGAAGGAACAGAGGCTAACACAGCACCTGGGAATTCAACAATCCAAGCAGAATGATCAAACCCTGCGAGTCCTATGCTGACTCTGTGCACACACCATCTTATTAATCCCACAAGCATGTCTGTTACTCCCTTGATTGACAAATGAGGAGACCGAGACCCAGAGAGGCACAGGAATGCAGATCTCGCTAGTGGTCAAGCAGAACCTGAATGCAGTTCTCTGACTCCAAACTGCACACAGGCGTACCTGTGCTGAGCCACTCCCCACTTCTGCTCACTGCCAGCCACCATGAACCTGCTGACAATTATAGTATGACAACAGGTATCAGACTCTACAACTAGGGAGTATCACTAGCAAGCCACACCAGCATCTGGTACACCTTTCTGACAGCGATAAATTTTACATTACTTTTTTTATTTCAGGAAATTATGGGGGTACATTTTGGTTACATGTTATGGCTTTGCCACATCCCAACCATGATTTGAGACGTGTCCTTTCACCCCCTACAATGCTCACCACGTCCATTGTGAGTTTACCCACCCCCACCTCCCCTACCCACAAAGAATATTACTATTGTGTGAGCACCTTAGTGTTGATCAGTCAGTGCAGTTTGATGGTAAGTACATGTCGTGCCTATTCTTCCATTCTAGAATCGACATTGTTAAAATGTCCATACTACCTAAAGTGATGTACAGAATTAATGCAATCCCCATCAAAGTACCAGCATCATTCTTTACAAATTTAGAAAAAATAATTCTATGCTTTGTATGGAACCAGAGAAGACCGTGTACAGCCAAAGCAATCTCAAGCAAAAAAGAACAAACTGGGAGGTATCAGTCTACAAGACTTCAAGCTGTACTACAAGGCTATAGTAACTAAAACAGCATGGTACTGGCACAAGAATAGAGACATAGACCTTTGGAACAGGACTGAGAATACAGAGGTGAAACCATCCTCATATTGTCATCTAATCTTTGACAAAGCAGACAAAAATTTTACATTATTGTAATCAATGAAACACGTAGTGGCTGTGAAATTTCTGTAAGAACTTTGTGTTCAGAAAGCATGCCCCCTAGTGGCTTACGTTGCTAAAGAAAAACAGGGAAGGATGCAGCCACAGGACAGGCTGGAGGTTTGGCAAGATGCAGGTCCATGCTGTCGCCGCCCAGTATCTCAGGGCAGCCCCAGAAATGCAGCAGGAACCCCTGGACCTGCTGCTCAGGGCAGATGCCTTGTGTCAATCTCTCTAAGGAGCAGCAGCAGGAGGAGAGCACCAATGGTAACGCATCTGGGAAAGATTACACAGAAATCACAAACAGAAAGCTGAACCCAATGTGGAGGAGATCCGTAAGTGATGTGTGATAGCACTTGACATTGAGAACAAAGGGGCAAGAGTTCCCCTCTGCTGCACGCTAGGTCTCCTGATGGCAGGAACAGAAGCCTCATTCCCTCATCCCTTTATCCCTGTAAAGAATTTCACACATGATGTTTTTTTAATAACAACTCCAGGCTGATTTAGCACTTTACATGAATGTATAATTTGATTTAAAAGTAAACATTGAACTAAGCAGCTCAAAAAAATAATAAGTAAAATATACAGTATGTTAGATGGCATTAAGTACCATGAAAAATAAAACACAAAGAAAGACAGGAGGGCGGGAGTGCCAATTTAGCACCGGGAAGGTGTGATTTTACAAAACTAACAAAAGGTGAAGGAGCAGGATCAAGCTCATAATCATTTGTGTGAAGGGACTCTCGGGCAGAAGGAACAGGATGTGCAAACACCCCAAGGCAAGAGCTTTCTTGATGTGTCCAAGGAGGACAGTCTGTCTAGAGCACAGTCGGCAAAGAAAACGGTAGGAAGTGAGGTCAGAGAGGGGACGGGAGCTGGATCTGAGATGTACAGGCCATGGCCAAGGCTTGGGACTTACCGAGAAAGGCGGGAAGCCTCTGTGCAGAACAGACTCGTGGGGGAGGGGGCGGGAACAGGAGTGGAACCAAGGGAATGACTTGAGGTGACTGCAACACACAGGAAACTTCAGCAGGGATTCAGGGGATGGTGTGGAGACAGTGGGACTGGTCAGATTCAAAAGTGTTGAAGGCAGCTGGCCGTGGGGTGTCAGGGGTTTCATGGCCTCTGGGGCCTGAGCAACTGAGAAGATGGAATCGGCATTATGGCAGGATCTCAGCTTGGGGCACATTAGGTTTGTGACGCCCACCGTGCCCAGCAGAGAGGTGGGAGAGGCAGTGGATACCCCAGCTGAGGCCCTGGGACGAAGCACAGCAAGGGTGGTCAGGTGTGGGTGACACACAGAGCATAAGCGGGGGTGAAACCCTCAGCCTATGTCTAGGGAACAAAAGTCCAGAACTGGGTCCAGGATGCAGAGGGCCTGTGGGAGGAGGCTGAGGAGGAGGCTAAGCTGGGAGAAGGAGAACCCCAAGAAGCCAAAGGGGGAAAAGCTTCCAAGGACAAGAGGGGTCCCCTCCACGCATGTTGCTGGGCCAGGCTACCAGGGGACAGAGAACATGACTGGATCTCTCTCAAGATGCTGCACCAGCCATTAGTGACATTGGAGAGAACTGTTTCCATAGATTGCAGTAGAGTCAAGAAAAAAGTGAAGAGGGTCACAGTGAGAACAGGGCGATAAGGACAGACTCGCTTCCAAAGCGTCTGGCTATGGGGGCAAAGGAGGGCAGGTGGCAAGGATGCCCGCAGGAAGGGCAGTATGTTTGGATCCTGCTGACAATGATTGCTGCAGAGTGAAAAATAAACTGTGCAGGAAAGGACTGTGGCATCAGTGCCACACTAAGGGGCTGGCCTCAGCTAAGAGTAGGAAATCTCCCCCACCCAACGGAAGGCAGGTAGGACGCACCAGAAGCCATGGCAGCCACTGCTTGTGGAAGCTCCCACTCGGTTGTTTTATTTCATCACAGATAGGAAGCAAGGTCATCAACCTTGAGGACGGAAGGGTGTGTGGAGGTTTGAAGGGAGGAGAAGCATGAGAGGCACGCACAGCACACAGGCCTGTACAGCAGGACCTGCTGAGTACCCAGCCAGGATGGGTGGCCTCAGCCACGCCCCAAAAGAAGTTCGAAAAAAAAGAAAAATGTGACCTCCTCATACATTTTAAATTAATATGTAAAATTTGCCATCCGAATTTAAAATAGTTCCCAAGGATGTCATTGCCAGTATATATTAAGGTTCTTTTTTTGAACAAAAGCATTCCATCATTCTTTCAAATGCATACATGTAAATTTAAATGCCATAATACCATAATTCATTTGAAAATACTTCTAAAGGTCCTGTTTAGCTGACTGAGAGCAGGAGGGCCCAAGGTCCCTGCTGCCTGACCTCTGGCAGGGCTGGTCCCCACAGGTCAGAGAAGAACGGGCCCCCAGACTGGACACCCCACCTGGGGAGGGGCAGAGTTGCCCCAGAGCAAGGGATGCCCCAGCCACCCCCAGCAGTGTTTCCAGGTGGACAACTGCCCACGGCTCCCAGCCGGATTCCCCTGCACAGGGCTGGGGAAGTGCCTTGGGTAAGCACCGGGAAGTTGCACCTTCACGGGCGAGTCTGCCAGCTCAGCAAATGGGACTGTGGTGAGGGGGGAGAGGCATATTACAGCTGGTAGGGGCACAAACCCCGCAGACAGGGCCCTGCCTGAACCAGCGCTTCTCCAATGCCAGCGTGCAGACAGCTTACCCAGCATCTTGTCCAAATGCAGCCTCTGACTCGCGTCTGCGCAGCAGAGACCTCTGCATTTCTACAAGGGCCCGGTGCTGCTGGTGCCCAGACCGCATTTGAGGGCAAGGGGTTGTTTGTTTTCAATGCAATGCGTTCCTTTTCTTCACCCGGGACTCCTGTTGTTGCCATGCTGGGTCTCACCTCCAGTCTCTTACCCTTTTTCATGATTCTGTTTCTTTGCCCTTTTTTCTCTGTACTTGTACGTATCTCTCTCACTTGCTGCAAACCCAATAACTCAGGCCTAACACTGACTTTTCTCTTCTTTAATTCATTATTCAATATTTTTGGTTGAAAATAATTATGGGTTTTAGTTCCAGAAACTATTTTTTGTGCTGTGCTTAAATCTCCCTGAGTGTTCTTATAATTTGTCATTTGTTATCCTTTGCCACTTGGGTTTTGTGGGGTGCCATGGAGCTAGGATCCGGCAGTAGAGTGGCCGGTCTGTGGGCCAGGGAAGGTGAAAGACCCTCACCCCTGGGCACTGCAATGCCCCTCCAAGAATGCTCTCCCTCCCAGGGGGTCCCCCACTGTGTACTCACCCCTGGGGCAGACTTGCAACTGAACAGCTCATTGGAACCGGGCTCAGCACCAAGCTAATGGGGGGAAAGTGCATCTCCGTGCTACTCACGTTTCTATTTCTCTAACTCCAGTACTTCCTTAGCTTGCACAAACCAGAATTGGGATTCAGGCCCAGATCCACCTGCTGCAGAACCTGAGCTGGTAATTCCTCCAAATGCTCATGTTATTAAACCTAATTGCAATCCACTGGATCTGGTTCGATCTTCTACGTTATTTTGTTCCTGAACATTTGAGGAAAGGATGAGTGAAAACAAAAATGAGATTTAGTAAAAATCAAAAAGCCAAAGCTCATGTAAAATACTTTTGACTTTCACCCCCTCTGAAAGAGTGCTTTCCTGTGCCAGGTGCTACAGCTAAGCACGTATGTCCTAACATCTCCTGGGGGGCCTGCGGGAGGGCGCAGACTGCAAAGAAAGCTGGGGGAGAATATGCTGAGAATGAGGCAGGCTTGAAAAAAATGACTTCCACACAGAGGCTGGAGGACAATACAGATAACGATGAGTACCCAAGATGTCAGTTAAAGGAAACCCACAAAATTATGTGCATAAATTACCATTCTTTGAATTCAACATCCAGGACAAGAATAATAACATTTTAACTTGAAAATTGCCTGAGAATTCTTCCTGTTCAAGCAAATGAGGTTGAAAAGATAAGGTTTAAGTGGAGAAAGACTGTCAGGGAATTCTCAGTCATTACATGTTTTTTGAGACTTCCAACACGGTCTTTATGGCAATGAAGCAGAGGCCTGAGGATGCTGCCCAGGGACCAGGCAGGGCTCAGGCCCCCCAGCTGCTGTGCACCTGAGCGAGTAGAGAGGAAGGAAGGAGAGGCAGGAGGATGTGAAAGGGATTTCCCTGTATGGAAATATTTGTTAAAATATTGAAATATCTCTACGCAGGTCAATGGAGAGCCACAGCCCTAGCCCCAGTGACTCCCACTGCCTCAGCCCCTGGGCCCTCCCTCTGCCCCCAGCAAGTGAGGGACTAACATTAGCCCAGGGAAGATAGGAGGAGGGGGCTTCAAGTGTCCTGCTTCGGTCCCCGCATGTGCTCTGATTGCACTAAATATTGATGAAGTATCGACATTACTATTCGGGCAATGGGTATACTAAAAGCCCAGGCTCACCACTGTACAATTCATCCATGTAACTAAAAGCCACCGTACCCCTAAATCTATTGAAATTAAAAAAATTGGTTTAATAGTATTAACTGTTGTTTAATAGTGCCATTGTTAAAGGTCAAATGCAGGAAGGGCCCAAGGCTGAGGGACAAAGTAACTTAAAAGAACAAATCTAACCCCCGGAGCTGGAGCCAGAATGTTCACCGAAGCCCTTCTGGCCAACTTGGAGAGAAAAACCCTACCTATGATCTAGTTCTTTCCACTCTGAACATTGTGAGATTAGCAAAAAGTCAATGGTATGATGGCACGATCTCATCAGTTACGAGCTAAGTCTTTGGAATTTCCTGAATTATTTGATGTTCTTCCCCGACCACTGGAAGAAGAGAAATATCACAAACAAATGTGAACAGAACTTCCTCCCTGTTGCTTTCAGCATATAGCCGACAACATGAATGTAGAGAAACAACCCCCAAGCTAAAGACACATGCTATAGTTTGGAAATTTGGCCCCTCCTCCTGGTATTGAGTGAGTTTGTTCCCAGGAGGAGATTGTTAAAAAGAGCCTGGCACCTTCTCCCGTCTGTCTCCCTCCTTCCTTCTCGCCATGCGAAGCTGTTCCTTCACCTTCTGCCATGAGTGGAAGCTCCTGAGGCCCTCGCCAGGAGCAGATGTTGGTGCCAGGCTTCTTGTACAGCCTGCAGAACTGTGAGCCAAATAAACCTCTTTTCTTTATGATCACCCAGCCTCGGGCACTTCTTCGTAGCAACACATAAACGGACTAACACAACACACTTTAGAGAGACAGCACCACCAAAGACAAGACAGGCTTTATCTCTTTAAACTCACTTCCCTGCAATAATGGAACAATGTTGCTCACCCGTGTTTCTAACAGAAGACCCTTCTGTGGGGCCACACAGCTTCAAGCTCACCCCGCTCTCTCTGCTGCACATTTGCCAGCATTTATAGTCACCAGAGATGACAACTGCACCTGCCAACTCTCTGGCTTTTTGCAAATCCATTCATGTTAAAATCCCTACAGAAAAGTGTCCTGTTGACCCGGCAAATGACCTTAGCCAGAGCTGCTAAGGTCACAGCTGACCGACACTGGCCAGAATGCAGGCAGCTCAGCTGGCAGCATGGGAGCCTGAGGCGCTGCTCCCTGTGTTCACACTGTGTGTCTGAAGGTTATAGGAAGGTGAACCTGTCTCTATTACCATATTTCCACGGGATGGTCTTTGGTCTCCTTGTTCATTCTCCAGCCAGACCCTGAGCAGGCCTCCCGAGTGTGTGCAGAGAAGATCAGGTACTCCAAGGGCTATTCCAGAGACAGTCCAAGAAACTAGACCTCCTGGAGCAGAAGCGCAGATTCCTAAACTCTGTAGGTCCAAGTGAGCCAGACCAGACCATAAAGCTTTCAGGATGGCGAGGGTGAGGTGCTGCACTTCTTTCCACTCCAGCAGAAGGTGCAGAGGGACACACGTGACTGCAAAGGTCTCAGGTGTGAGCCAGACCCTCATTGCTGCCCACATGCTCTCTGAGTCATGCTGAGTTCAGAGGGCTCCACAGCCACACACAGTAAAGGTACTCCAAGTCAGAGGGGACACTCTGTAGGCAGGAAACCTAGATCACCTCCCAAAGATCCATTCATATCCCTGCATCCATCAGAGGCCAGAACCAGTGGGAGATGACTCTACCCATAAGAAGAGGATTTATTATGAAAAGTTGCCCTACATCATGGGCGTTGGGGGCTGAGCAGGATGCCCTACATCCATCCACAGGGCAGACAGTGAGGAAGGGAAAGTGATGAGCAGCTGGTACCCCATGGGCACTGGCTCAAGCTTGTCACAGGAGTCAAGAAGGAAGGTCCCAGGGAAGAGAGCACCTGTGGACCCTGGCAGTGTCCCAGTGAAGTGGAAAATTGGAAAATTCCACTAAAGTAGAAAATTCCACTACTGGGCTTTGTCCCTTGCATTCCTTACCTGAGGTCCCTCCTCCCCGTGACCTTTCCCCTCATAAATCACCTGTAGCAATTAGTGTACCAGGCTGCAAAGTAACTTAGGACTCTGCCTCACTAAAGTAAACCCTGTTGTAACCATGCCCCTCCCTCTTAAGCGGAGTGTATAAAAGACTGCAATGCTCTTTGTCCGGTGCTCAGAATTTGGAGGGAAAAATCCCCATCTGAGCCCGCTGGCGTATAAACCTGTTTTTGCCAATATTTCTGTGTGTGTGTCGGTCTATTCCCGTTCATCTCTGCCGTAACACCAGTATCGAGGGACTCAGAACATCCACTCTATTTCCAAGTCTTTCCAAGTGCCCATCACGAGTCAGAGCACCCAGTGATTTCTCAGGCTACAGATGAACAGACGAATCCACCTGCATCTCTGGGCCTCCAGGCCAACAGCGACTGTCAAACCCAGTGGCTGCCACAGGGAAGGCAGATCTGGAGAAATGACCACCTTCCACTGGGGAACACAAAGGGCTGTGTGTTAATGAGACTGGTTCCCAGGGCAGAGAAGGAGAGAGCTGAGGAGGACAGCTGTTACCAGCAGCAAAGAACAGTACAGGCAAAGGCACAAGAGATCCCAGCATTGTGCTAAAGAGAGTGGCACCACATCCACCGAAGATGCGGGTATATCTCAGATGGCAGGAAGGCCAGGCTGGAGGGACGTGCAGAGATGGTGTCTGCGGCTCTGAGGGAATGCGGTGAAGCCCTGGGATGTCCAGTTTCCTCAGTGACAGAGTATAGCTGGAGGGTGGTGGGCTTGGGAGTAAGGTGAATGAGGAGTTACTTTGGGAAAATTAATCTACTGCAGTTAATTCAATCTTTCCTTCATTTACAAACATTTGGCAACTATCTTCTTTGTGCCAGGGAGGATGCTAGTGAAAGAGGATACAAACATGAATAGATGGAGTTCCCAGACAGCTGCAGGCATCTCTTGACAATCAATTTATGAATAACTTGGTGGAGGTATATGCAGAGTCCTATGGGACCCCAGAGGATAAGCAAGGCTCTGCACAGGGAAGTATAGAAACATTGAAGAGAAGGCATGTAGTATGCATAGAAGGAGGCTCTGCAGCCTCTCCTATGTTTGGGGAACTCTTGTTTCATGAGCTTTGGCTCCCCAAGGCAGAAGCTGGAAACACACTTTCCCTACTTTTGCAGTTAGACAAGGTAGGGGACATGGGCTCCTCCAATCAGACACACCTGCTCAAGAGGCCAGTTTGGAGAATTTGGAGGAAGGGAGTGACAAGGCCAACTCAAGGGCAGGGTGACAGAGGTCCTGCAATCAGTGGCCAGCACGAGGGGAGTGAGCCTTGGCATTCATGCCACGCAGCAGAAGCTGGGGGCTTGATGGGGCAGCCCTAACCCACTCTCATGTGTCCTTGAGAAATTCTCAGAAATTCCCAGGACTGTGTACTATCCCTAGATAAACTCCTTTTCTTCTTAAACTAACTAAAATGGGTTCTGTTGATTTCAAGTATTGATTTAAATGCTGATAGCACTCTGTGCTTTGCAAAGAGAATGATCCCAACTAAAAGACTAGAAATAAAATCTGTACCTCCCAAACCAGTTGATGGGGGGGAGGTGGGATTTATCAATCCAAGAGAAGTCATAAAATGGGAATAAAAGAATCAGCCAAGAAAAAGTATAATAAATGGAAAGCCAAAATAAAATGGTGGTAATAAATTCAAGTCCATCAGTCATCACAATAAATGTAAATATGTTAAACTATTCTCTTAAAAGACAGAGATTATCTGCTTGAAATTTTAAAAATCCACTTATTTGCATGCTGTTTAAAAAGTGCAAATAAAAA